CTATTTTGAAATAGCTTTCTAATTCTAAAAGGATTAAATCTAGAGAAAGAATTCATCTTAAAGTAGTTCTTGATGACTAAATCCCTCAACATAGGGAGTTGAGACAATGCTTTCTATAAAATCACTTCTAATAGATCTAATGAAATAACTGGGAGATATGATAAATCATAGTCATTTCTACAAATACTAATTTTCTTAAAATATGTACAATCAGAGCAATTCTCAGACACAGGGTATTTTCCATAAATACTAAAGGAGCAATGCCAAGCAGCCATTCCAGTCCCTCCACCCGCCTTTCATCCTCTACAATCTGTCCTTTGCGGCCAGTGATACCTACTTTTCTCTTCGCGCTTTGTGTAATCCAAAACTGAGACAGGGAAAAGAATGCCAGGACTTAAAAGAACTTTTGCCTCTCAAAAAGTTACATCATGGGGAATATAAACAAAGACGCCATTTCTGTTTCACCAGAAAGAACAGAAACAATGAAGGACTACAAAATGTTTTTAAATGTAGTCATGTAAACGCATTAAATCCAAGAAGGAAGGCAAGGAAGGCAAAGGAAACCAAAATTGCTGCCCCAAATTCTTCTTGTTAGCTTGCCTGCTGGTTAGTATACGACTTCATGCTCTAATAGAACCCAAGTTCTTTTCTTCTTTAAAAAAACGCCGCTGATCAAGTCTGTTTCTCTCAGCAACAGACGGCTGGGAACATATCAGACAGGCAAGGTGCTGGTCAGCTCAGAGCTAACAATGCCAGCAAAAGCAAGAAAGATTGCTCCTGGGTAGAGGAAGGCACGTGGAGGGGTGGGAATACTTGGAAGATAGAGAATTGAAATTGAAAGGCTGTGTGAGTCTGCTAGGAACAGAGACTTTAGCAGGAGAGCTGGAGGAGAGAGAGCATCTTGCACCTGAGAAATGACAAGTGCGGAGCAGCTGGAGCCAACTACACGGGGAGCAGCTGGAGTAGCCCGAATCCCAAGCCAGGCTCATCCTAGAGGGCCATGTGATGGGATGGCATCTATCCTGGGACACAGAGAGCTCCAGGGCAGATTTCAATGGGGATGGACGGGATCCACTGGTTCTGTAGATAAACGTCGCTTACTACAGTGTTGAGGGTTGGCTGAGGGAGAAAGCCTCATTGCCGTGGCAGTGGCCTTGGAAGATGGGGTCTAAGCCCAGACAGCGGGAACACGAGGAGATGCCAGAGGGAGGAGCCACAGACACAGCCGAGGCAGTTGACACCAGAGAGTGTCTCCATGGGGTGTCAGATGGAGGAATCTGGTGGCACAGGAGAGTTTTCAGCTGGAAACAGGTTTAGGGGACAAACATCACATCGCCTCCCCTCGGTCCTGTATTCCCAGGGCACTTCCAGAACTCCCTGCAGAAAGCCAGAACCAAGAGTACTGAAGAAGTGTCTCTTTTTTTTCTTTTTTTTTTTGGTCTTTCTGAGACAGGGTCTCACTATGTGGTTCAGGCTGGCCTTGAGCTCACTTTGTAGCCCAGGCTGATCTCAAACTCACAATGATCCTCCTGCCTCAGCCTCCCAAGTGCTGGGATTACAGGCGTGCGCCACCATGACCGGCTGAAGAAGTCTTGTATAAAGTGGCATAGCAATTGCACAGATGCTGCGCACACCCTTTGTATACCCTCAATCACCTCTGTCACTGACAATCTTTAACACAATGTAAATGCCACGTTACTGGTTGCTATCCAGTACAGTTTAGAGTACTGAGGAATAACGACAAATAAATCTGTATTGCTGTACACAGATGCAATTTCTCTTCTTGTAATGTTCTCAGTCTGCAGTTGGTTGAATCCCTGGATGTGAAACCTGAGGACAGGAAGGACTGACTGCAGAAGTAGTAATAGACAACCAGGGATGGAGACGAGCTAGGGACACGTGGGAAGAGGAAACAGCACAGGAGGAGCCTTAAAAAACAGGACAGAACAGACAGGACAAAGGGACCCTTAGAGGAGAGAGAGGAGCCAGCGCCAAGTAACCAAAAACTAAGGGAAGGATGCATTCTGAGAAAAAGGTGGTGCTCAAAGGTTCCAGAAAGGTTAGGCAAAGCAGACTGAGAAAGAGCTTCCAGCCAGCACCTCCAACGTGCTGCCAGGGAACCGAGCTAACACCCAGCGAGGTTGGAAGAGAGTACCTAGGGAGCAAAGGTAAGGAGTCTAAAGAAAACACTGAGTTAACAGGCAGCACTTCCGCGGATAAGGGAAGGAACAAGGTGGCAAAGTACAGAAGTTTTCTTTTGCAAATCCTCATCTCCTCTAGCATGAAATTAAGTATGCAAGCCCTTGACTCCAAAAAGAGGTGCTAAATAGAGTGCTGCGACATGGCCAGGGGAACCAGTCCACGTGGCTGGCAGAGGCAACTGGGAGGGCAGGGCTCAAGCGCACCATTTCGGCTCGAGGTACTTTCCCTCCTGACAACAAGGCATCCCGTGCTTTTGTCAATATTGACTGCAACGTAATTTACATGTACCCTCCCGGGGACTTGGGGACAGAACTTTCCTAAAGTAATATAAGTACAACACAGCAAAAGCATGCCTCACGCCTCACAGAGAGCTGCGCTGAGCTCTTCTGTCTTCACACAATTCTTTAGTTAAACCCTGTCAGTACAAAAGGCTTCTCGCAAGTATTACAAAAAAAGCATAGCACTCGTGGTAAGATTTTTATATATATATAATTGCTTTATAAGCTTACTCTCTCCTAAGAAATAGTAATAACCAGCAATGCACAAAAATGATACCATGAGGAATGTTGAATATTAAAGTACATTACTGTCTACTGCAGCTGTTCCTTTACTTAAATCATTTTCATTCACAGGAATTCTTATGCAGCAGTAAACGCGACACAGATATTTCGGTGGGATTCCAATTTCATGTCTTTTACGGGGCCACAGGGAATAAAATCAGTGCTTTCATCAAAACATTTCAGGCGGCTGCAGGTTGGCTTTGCTGCTGTGTGGGGTACAGCAAGGAATAACCTGAAGCAGAGAAGAGGAGAACGTCTGTCTCCAGTGTGCTTCTGACATGAGGACCCCCCACCATGACATCCAAGGCTTTCTGTGAGGGCAAAATGGAGAAGGTGTCACCAATTTTCCTTTGTTTTTAAAGAGACTGAGGAGATGATCTACTTCCCCACAGGATATAAAATATAAGTCCAGGACAGGAAGGCGCCGCATCTGTTTTCTCCCATGCCGCACTTCCTGGACAGAACACATGTTCTGACGTAGTGTAGATGTTCGGCAAACATCTGTCAGGATGGATATGTCCTCTGGAATAGGGAAGTGTTCAGTTCTCCATGGAAAAATGATCTAATAGAAAAAAATGAGTCTTCGAAACTTACTGCTGAGAAGTTTGCACCTAGCACTTCGAAGGAACTCTGTTAAAAGAACAGATGATGCGGCAACCAAAAACAACTGTCATGCAAGGGCATCAGTTAGGAGCTAGGGATGCAGCGCAGTGATAAAGCACTTGCCTAGAATGTGTGGGCAGAATTCTAGCACCTAGACATACACACACTACAGAAAGAAAGAATGAGTAACTTCTCAGTTCAGTAGCCTACTCTGGCTAGCTTCTGCATTAATCTTATATGCTTGGATTTCTGTCCTGTATTTTCCCTTTGTAAAATTTTTTGTTAAGATTACATTGCTCTCTAGTGGGCCCTACTGGCACACATCTGTCATGTAGCATTCTAGGAGGATGAGGCAGGAGGGTTGGCAAGTTCAAGCTTAGCCTGGGCAACACAATAAATTAGCAAGACCTTATCTCAAACTAAAGGGCTAGGGATGTGGCTCAATCCACGGTACAAGGGGTGAGGGAAGCATATATTGTTCTCTTATTGTAGAAATTAGCTTGTTGTTAGCTTACTCTATCTTTGGCAAGTAAAGCAATATAAACATAAATTAACGGTCCTTTCAAAATCGGTCCCCTCTAATAGACTACCTGTTGAGTTTAAGCATGTATTTCCTTTGCACAATATGAGGTGTTACAGACTTGGATGAGTGGTCATATTAAATGAGATTTAAAATTAAGAACACAAACAATATATGTATAATCTGCTACTAATTTTATCTTCTTTGATTTTAAAATGTGGGGGCTCTGAGCATCAACAGGAACAACAAATCTGCATTATTTAGCAAGCTCTTCTCTGCAGCCTGACTTATTTTTACAGACAGCACACCATTTATAACAAATGCTAGATTTTTAGGATTCCAATATTTCTTACCAAATCTATGATGCTAGATTTTTAGGATTCCAATATTTCTTACCAAATCTATGTATCTCTTATTTTTCACTTTCAAATGCTCTACGCTTTTTCGTACTTGGAAAACTTAATGATCACACCTTTCCAGAGGGGGCGCCAGAGTCTTCTATGGCCTCCTAATCCCATAAACTTAGTCTCAGTGCTGGGGATCAAAAGCAGGGCCCCACACAGGCTAGGCCAGTGCTCTCTATCAGCTATAGCACCCATTTAGAACCAATCCTGGCAAAGGACAGCGAAGAGCTCAGCAAAGCAGTCCCTGGGGAAGACAGCGCCCTGGAGAAGAAATGGAAGGCTAGAGGGGAGGATGGGGCTTCAGCAGTGACAAGAGAATCACATGGAAGACGCCGGACTGCTCCCACTTGGCATAAACAAAGTCACGGGCAGCTCTGCCTCCCCTGGCCGGTTGCATCCGGGTCCAGTGCTGACAGGAGACAGACAGCCGAAGAGGAAGGGAGGCCTGGGTTCCAGGAGAACCAGCTGAGACCCAGTGATACCTGCTGAGCTGGCAACAGGAACATTAGCATAGACTTAGACATACCTTCACCACATCATTAAGAAATCAAATCACAATCCACTGACAAAATAGTGGCCCTACAGCAAGCAGAGATAACGCAGGTGCTTTGCAGGGACGGCCCAGAACTGATCTTGTGGCTTAAGTTTAGGGCAGACATGAGGCTCACTGTAATGTGAGGCGCAGAGCCTCTGGGCTTTTGCATCTTTTACCTCATGGCACTTGCTTATTCTCCTCGCCACGATGAGCTGGATCATTCCTCGTTTATTTCCTTCGGTGGACATCGATCTCCTTAGGGTTTCCATGGCATCTTGGTTTGTCTTGCCCAACAGAGATTCTCCATTTACTGCTATCAGCTGATCATTCACCCGCAGCCTCCCATCCTGGGAAGAAACCAGGTAAAATAAGTGCTGTTAAATAGTCTTCCAGAAAAGAAATTCCTTTCCTTTTAGTTAAAAAAATTAAAACAAAGCCCAAAACAGAGGGGATTAAGGAGCTTTAATCCAAATGGATTATGCCCAATTGAACACTAACAGAATAAAACCTAAGCAGCTATTGTTGCCTGTGTCTATTTCAATCATTTATACATTTGTAAATTGAGTCATTATCATAATCTGTTTACCAAATAGCATACTAATTCAAAGGACACAAAGTGATTACTCTCTTGCTTCCAGAAAAACCCACAGAGGTTATTCACAACACAAGACCTGCAAAAGCTCAAGGCAACTAGACAACTGCAGAGAAGTGTCCCCTGAATAACAGACAGCCAGGAAACTTCTCTAGCCTGAGAAACAGAACAAGTGACCCACAAGCAGGGGAGGGAGGAGAAAAGATTAACCTTTACTAGACGCCAGGACCTGTGCTAAGGCTCTGCACAGATTATCGTGCCGTAACTAGCATGACTATGGGCTACTGGTTCTGTGAGATGAAGTTATGGACCCAGCCCCAAAGGATGCATCCCTGAGATTTCTCCTTGTGGTTTGACCAGGGGTGGGGCATTGTAAAGAAGCCAGAAAACACCTGCTAACTGAGTATGCTTTAAAAGCTGGACCAGGATGAGAACTACCCATTTTTGTTAGTGAGCATACTTGATAAATCTGCCATGTGCTTACTTTAGATGCTGCTCCTCCGTTAATAATCGACTTGACGAAGATTCCCAAATCTGCGTGGTTCTCTTTGGACCGGTTACCTTTGACACTGACACCCAGACCAGCAGACCCTGAGTCATTAAGCGGAACTTCAAATGTCAGAAACTCCCTGGTGCCATCGGGGGTGAGAACAATATCCTCCTCTTCGGCTTTCTGATAGAGAACAAAATTGCACAGCACATTTTATTCCAATGTCTCTTTCTCACGGTTAACTGCTTTAAAGACTGCTAATGAGCAGCTCTTTAATCCTATCAGGCAATATCTGCACCACAGCTCAGCGAGGAGATCCAAGCTCACAGTGCCTCTGCATCCCTCCAGATGATTCCTAGAACCAGCTGCTAATATTTTCACGAGACACTTATTTCAATCATGAAACAAACCTAACCCAGATTCTGAGAAACAGCGGGGGAAATGTAGCAGAAGGACTCAAGACACTGGAGATTTCCTAGAGTTTGAGATTATTTGTTTTTTGGTCTGTTTATATATTCTAGACCACAAAAGAAAATCAGTAACAAGAAATATGAATAAATAAACATAATTTGCTTTCCCATTTCTTGTCATTAAAAATCTCAATGTTATTAATTGTTTAAAGTTCCCTAATAATATATATTTTTAAATGTCAATAACAAACCCTGGTGGTAGGAAATCAAGAGCAAAAGCAATTTGTGTTTGGACTTTTGAAGAGTTTTAACCTTCAACATCTGTAAGACAAAGTAGAAAGAAACCACCACATCTAGGAAACATTTTTTAGACTATCATACCACATATAATACAGCTGTTGAATACTGTTCAAGTACTGTTGCTGAGTTAATTAGTTATATATCAAAATTTAATTTCATACTTGCAGTTACCAAGTACCAAAGAAGCTGCTTCAAAATACAACACATTTGAGATACTCCAATTCTTGTTTGCCACCCTGAATAAGGAGAGGGAGAAATGAAATCTTAAAGTATACCCCAGTGAAATACAATGAGGGACACATTCTGTCACTAAGTGATGCCCCACTCGGGGAAGAAAGCGAGCTCCCTCTGCAGTGACCCCACCACATCCAGACAGGCCATTTCCACACTGTGAGACCAGCCCTCTGTTCCAACTACAAAATGGATGTGTGGCAGATCGGAATTAAATTCCTCATGCAGTCCTCTGACCTGTTCTGCTCTTTCTGCAATTCTGACGTATTTCGCCAGCTGGACCAACTCAGACACTCAAGCTGAAATTATCCAATCATAATGGAAAATGGTAAAGACAGGTAGAAAGGAGACAAGGGAGGTCATAATTTTAGGATGTAAGAAAACTGCAGCTTCAAGACACAGAGCTGCCCAAGGCTACCCACGCGGTATCTGCACTCCTTCTCCTGACTCCCTCCGCTTGTTCTTTGATTTTTTTCTCCCAGGCCAGTAATATCCAAGTCCCTTAAAGAAGGTTGATAAGATAAAAGGGAGCAGCCTTCACCAAATTAAAGTAAGGTGATAGATTCAAGGGGATCAAAATCTCTCAGATAAGACAAAATGTCTTAGATTGCCCAACTGAAAGAATATCTCTAAGATCATATATTCATCCCTAGCCACAAGCCATAGCACTTCTCTCTCTCGAGTGCCTGCGCTCTACTTCCAGGGTATACATCTTTCTCTGCTGAAAAAAATCTGTCTGCGCCTCTCACTGATGCACCCGAAATTCCTCTGTGGGGCAACAGTCAAGACCCTACTTGGCAAGTTGAGTTCACGTCCCTCTCGCTCCTTTAGGGGACTCCTTGTTAATATTTTATAAGTACCTTTTGAAGGGAAGGGCTGGGGCTCACGTATGCTGCACAAGGGTCACAGCCCCAGCCCACAGTGTAGGACATTCTCTGTGCCTTCTCAAAGGGTGGCCTGACAGTTATTAAGGATGAGGAACATTTCAATAAAATAAAATTGTTCCTGCTCTTCAAAGATGCAAAGTATGTCACTAAAGAATACAAAATACGAACAAGCTGGGAAGCTGTAGAGCAATAGCTAGGTTTCCATAAAATAAGACACATTTTAACATTAAAATCCCAAAAAATGCCGAAAGTTGCACATTATAAATACTTTTTTGAATTTAAGATATTCTCAGAGAAGAATGATAACTCAAACAGAACCAATATATTAGGAGAGAAATAAAGATCAAATGCTCATTTCATTTTCATACAGAAGTACCTTTATATGCATGTTTTATTCTCTCATCACCAATGTTCATTTAACTTTGATTTTTATCCATATGGTTCAAAACAATTAAAGGGTACCAAACCATGACTTTGTGTGAGCAAACAGCGTTACCTCAGTGCAAACTCTGTTATAAATATATACGATTTTGGGGCTGGAGATGTAGCTCAGTAGTAGAGCACTTGGCTAGCATGAGCAAGGCCATGGGTTTTAGTCCAGCACCACAAAGAATAAATCAATCAATGAATGAAAACTTACAGGTAAATTTCAATGTCTGAAATACAAAATAGCATCAATGTAACTGAGACAAACTACTGTCCCCTTCTACTCAAAAGCTGAATGATAAATTCATTTTGCCGATCAGTATTTTATGCTGGAAAAGCTGAGCTGACGACTCCCCCCCTTCAGAGAGCATATTTGGGGCACTCATTGTCTTGCCTCAAATCCAAGAAGTTCCTAACTGTCACTCACTGATTTGCTTCTGCAGTCGGCTTTTTCATGTTTAGTGATTTTGACATTTCCGTAACATTTTACGAAGCCTTAAAATTCTATTTTTTTCTACTTGAAAAATGAAGACCAGGAGCTGACTGAATGCACAAAGAAAACTTCTAATCAAGTTGGACTCACTTTCTGGCTGCCGTCCTCTAAACCTGTTTCAAAGCTAACCCACTCTGCATGGGATTCTGTCACCGATCATGAACACTGAGAGGTAAGGATGATCCTCGGCAGCTACTATGTCAAGGCATAGCCACCTTTAGCATTAACAACACTCGTGTGGCAGTGGATATTCCACTTGCTGTTTCATGATTGCTCCATTTGGCTCTTAACTTATGACTGAAATTAACACCAGCTCTTAGAACTTAATTCTCCACAGAATGTTAAAAAATTGGACTCCAAAAACCATTTCAAGTGCTGTATTAATTTGAGAACTTTCACGTCATCCTAGTAGGGTAATCTCCACATTCTGCCATAAAGGAGCAGCTCCTTTTCTGCCACCTTATTACTCTGTCCAGATTCCGTACCTTATCAGCTGTTTCAGATGTGCTTTGTGCAACAATCCATAAATGTGTTGTCCCCAACTTACTCGAGTCATGTGTGCGTGGTCCTGTCACTCAGGCACATGCATCACGTACATGCACGTACGGTATCAGTGTTTTTTTCCATCAGTGCCACCTGTCAGTTCTTTCTTTGCCCAGTTCTCTACTGGCATTTTGTCTTTTATACCCAGAAAACAAAAGGCATCTTGCTAACGTATGAGAAATTGCAAGTAGGCACTGCAAAAGCTATTTTACTTTGCCACTATCACCAGAAGAGCAGAAAAGATGAATGTAGAATATCTGTAGTGAGACAGAAAAACAGTTACAGTGGGCTCCCAGGTGGACCAGTAATGGTCCCAATGGCTAAAAGGTGTAGCTGCCCGCACATGGCTCTGAATCTACTGTCACCCTGAAGCCCAGAATGGGGAATGATAGCTAATCAGTTAAAGAACAGAAAAGTGAGCACATGAAAAGTAGCCTGAGCCACAGTATGTAAATATTTTGATAAGGTATACAATACTGTGAAGAGAGGCAACAGAAACTCAGTCTGTACATACATAAGATCATAAAATGATACAAGTGAAAGCAGTATCTGATTTGGAGCTCTACAAAGATATAAACAATTTAGCAAATATCATTCCATTATAATTCACCTACTTCTATTTTAACATCTATACTCCACTGAATTAATATTGAAAGGACGAATATTTCCCATACTAAATGGAAAAGGAATGTGATCAAGCCATTCGTTAAAGGTGGGTGAACTAGTGCATGAGTCTCTGAGTACAAGATTCAAATTCTACTTGCAATAAAAGACAGCAAATTAAGCCACCAACAAAAATTAACAAAGTTTTGAAGTTTTTCTTTAAAATAATGACACAATGTAGGTACGGTGAAATGAGCATTCTTGTGCTGTTGGCAAATGTATAAAAAAGTACGAACATTTTTCAAGGTTTTCCTACGTTGCACTGTCTGGCACTAATTGGTAACCCTCACACCTCAGCCTCTTAGAGTGCTGGAATTAATTACAGACATATCCCACCAGGGCTGGCTAAAACAGTCTCTACAGTTTGCACATTGCCTAACCTAAAAATATTACTGTTAATATTGATACTGCCTAAATAACTGATTGTGATCATGTACAAAGATTCATTTGTGAAGATGCTGGCTTAATTAAATGGATAAAAATTTTAAATAACCCATAAATGACATTAGGTAAATTGATGCACCTATACAGTAGAATAACCCTTAGCTAATGAGAAATATTTACTGAGAATAGAAGACCACCTATGACTCTGAAATTGGGCTTTACTTTGTGGATTTTCATAATTTCTGTGTGTCACACATAATAAGCCTCAACAGTCTATTTTTATAAATTACTTAATGTCTGTCTTCCTATGTCAGTAGAAGCTTCATAAGAAAGCTTTATTTATTAACTACAGGATAAGTATCTGAGACATCACATACGTTAGCTCCCTAGGTAAAGAAGAAAATTATGAAGAAAATACACCAAAATGAAGACATTGAAGTCACAGAACTGCAGGTGATTTAATTTTCTTCTGTGTTTGATTGTATTTTCTAAAGTTGATGTGCATTCCTTTTGTAACATAAAACTCCCACAGTGCACCATGACTTTAATGAGCATGGGAAGACAGTACATGTGCACGAAACACATACGGGGTATGGGGAGGGGGACAGCAGAGTGTACGCAGGCGGGCAGGGCCAGGCAGGGCTGTGGGAGGAGCAAGGCTGGACTCAGACCCGCACAAACACACATGCATCGCGGCAGGCCATGTGTTCTCACACTTAACAGGAATTTTATAAATGTTAAAAAGAGAATACACTTATTCAACATCTAGGGATTAAACAACAGGTAGGTACTGCAGACAAATAAAAGCAAATTTTTATAGTTTAAGAGGAGGATTTTTAAAACTGA